AAGTAAGCCTATGGGTGAGACTTCCGGTTCATTAGCCGCTATAGGTAAATAACGAGGAGAATAACAATGTGCAGTAAACGGTCAAACTGTTTGCTCTACAAACCAGTGTGTTCATAATTAAGATAATACATTAAAATAATATGATAAGACACACCAATATCAAGCAGCAAAACGAACTATTTTGTTCAGTTAAAAATAGCTGGACGGAGTGGACGCAGATGAGACCGGAAGCCAGACCGATAGAATTTGCAAATGGCCGCGCCCATTTTTACGACAAGAAAAAGGTGGATAGTGGAGGTCAAAACAATAAAAAATAAAATTGACTCACAACCATCAAAATCTTAATAGAAAATTTGTAATCACATTCCATAGGGTAACCAGTATTTACAACAACTGAACATTTGAAATGGTTTAAATTGATCAGCAACATAACAGAGCTAGAAGGAATGTACTACACTTGTATTATAGATACTATATATAGCTTTGGATAAATGTGTCAGCTAAATACTCATCATAAATCACTATTCCACAATAAATCTGTTCCTCAGTTTAAGAGTCTGGGCCAGTACATCTCCAGTCTGCTGTATGTCAGCTGGAGAAAGTCTTTGACTGAAGAACTCCATAGCACATACTTCAAGGGACGTGTTTACTACACCCTCAACGTACTGTGTAAAGACATCGACAACCCGTAATGTATTCACACAACATTCATTTACAGTATGTAGTTGCATTTCATTACTTAAGAAGATTAAATCTACTCTGTTAATGGTTTGTTTTGTGTTTGTGTTTGTGTCACATCCAGAGACCAGCGCATCAGTCAGGACGTAGAGAGGTTATGTAAACAGATGAGCACTATGGCGAGTCGACTTCTCATTTCGCCGTTCACCGTGACCTACTACACCTATCAGTGCTTCAACAGGTCAGAGGGATGTTGAGTGTGTTTATTTGTGTTTGTAATCACAGAATCTAAACATAGGAATCAATCTATGCAATTAATGCCAGTGAAATATTCTTGCATCTTTTTGTCCATCTAGTTTTGCACTGAAAGATTTGGTAGGATAACTTATCTTATTTGAGTTTTTCTTACCTTTTTGGTGCTGCAGTGCCGGCTGGATTGGATTTGTTAGCATCTTCGGCTACTTTGTGGCTGGAACCATCATCAATAAGATCTTGATAGGACCCATCGTATCCATGCTGGTTGAGCAAGAAAAGTTGGAGGGAGATTTTAGGTAGACCTATACAAAATGACAAAATTACATTCAGAGATGCTGAAGCAAACGTCACATGCTTATGGATTTTTGGTGGATCAGATTTTATTCTCTGGATGATTGCAGCTCTATTTCAGCAGTTCTCTTTTGCTTTCCATGTCCTTCTAGGTTTAAACACATGCAAATTAGAGTGAACGCCGAATCTGCCGCTTTCTACAGGTTGGTATGCACTTTTAGATTTGAGTTTTTATCTAATCACAAAGCAGGAGATCATTTGTTGTTTTTGTTCAGGGCAGGTAAAGTGGAACACATGCGGACTGACCGGAGGCTGCAGATGCTCTTATCCACTCAGAGAAGCTTGATGAACAAAGAGCTCTGGCTTTACAGTAAGGACTCCTGAATTAAATTGGCATTCAGAAGATTGTGTATATAAAATTTTAGTGAAATAAATTAAAATTAGTGAAGTATTCCTCACTGCTGTTACTGTGGCAGAAGAGAAAGCTCATTTCATGCACCTAAAGTTGGCATGAAACAAGTTGCGATCGTCTTTTCTTTCCTATTATGACGCATATCTGAGTGAAACAGCGTCTCGAACAAGAAAAAAAAAACACTGCAGTATTTCATAAATAAGAATTGTCCATTTTGATTTCATGGTGACTTTGTGATTTGACTTTAAATGTGTCATTTTGCAGGCATTAAGCTGCTTTATCAACCTTAGTATGAAATAATAAAGTCCCTCTGTTCTGTTCACTACAAATGCTTATTGTTTTGCTTCTTTTCATTTCAGTTG